ACTAGAAATTTAAAATGCATCAAGTTGTTTTATCTAAACTTTTTTGCAACTAAATGAATTGATTTTTATTGAATTTAGATTACTCTAGGTTTCAGATTATGTAGACTATTTTCTTCACATCATTATTATTACTATGTAGGTTAATTTTAAACTGTGTGTTTGTGTGTTGGAAATAAATATCTTTAGATTATGTACCAACATACGTCCAAAACAGGAAGTTTCTTAAGAAATTGTTTCATAAAATTAATACTGTTTGCGATTTAGTAATAATGTGCGTGTCTAGATATCCACTATACGTATCCACGTATAATACCATAATCGCATTACTTATAATTATTCTAATTATTTTTATAACAAAATCTATTATTTTGTTTGTTACCCAGTTAATCAAACTTATGCTAGAACTAATGTGATTAATATAAATAAGTTTTGTTTTAAATTTAATTTATTTTGAGATAACGACATTTGACCTTGTCAAATGGTGTAAAAACACAAGCTAAAAGCGGTTTGGTAATTGTTACATTTATAGGTTTGCTTCAAAATTATTAACGAATAATTTTTATCATTATCATTATGTATTTATAAGTTATACGGGCTGTGTCTAAGAATACCTCTGAGCTATTGTGGTAAAAGGGTAAGGGTTTGATTGTGTATTTACTTACAGTCGGTATTAAAAAAAACATTATTAGTAATAAATTTGAGGTGATAACGGAAATTTGATAAAAACATTTCATGAATGTAGATAAGTGTAATCCTTTTAGTAATTATTAGAAAAAAACATTTGTTATCTTGTACATCTGATAAAATGAATTAAATAAATCTCATTTCTATAATGCGATTAGAGTTGGTAAATATTATTTTGTTCACTGTTATATCATTCATACCATTTTCATTCTCATTTATTCTTATAATATTTTATTGCTGAAAACTTTACACTTCGTGCTTAAACAGATAACAATAAATTAATCATTCCACTCAATTTGTTTTCTTATTTTTATTTTATTTTTTATTTATAAACAAACAGTTATCAGAAAATGTTACTACTTACTACTAAATTACCGTAGTAACGACAGTTAAATGCGTTTTGCTTCGGATAAACTACCAACTACCGGTATAAATATAATTTTTGCAATTTCTCTTATGCATTTGACATATCTATGTTGATCGCTTTGACGGCATTAATCTTACAAATCCACTAAGATCGATCGAAGGCTAGGTCGATATTCCAATAACTGTTATCTTTTTATAACATCTGTCGTGCGCAGTACCTACTATAATATATATAATAACTAATCAGTATTTTTTTAGTAATCAGTTATAATATATATATATATATTTTGTTTTAGGCTAGTGTACCTGGGTTCAGTTCCTGGGTCAGTAAGGATGTTTTAAATTATGTAAAAAATATTCCGTTCATATTTACTAACAACCCGCGTTAACAATTATATAAAATAATTAAATGATAAATAAATGTAATGGTAATAAACGCTGATGCCTGCGTTTGACTATACTCACGAGGCGTGACTCCGACGATTTAGATAATCGCCACGTTTATAAAACTAAGAAAGCATCAGGGAGCAAGAATTACAGCCTTGACTTGATGAAAGAATACTTTTGTCTAAGTAAAAATTAGTTACAAACTCACAAAGATTATACGCTTATCACCCAAGACTTAAACATAACTGTAACACAGGAAGCAATATTACAATTGGCGTCGTCGACAAATTACCGCGCCCGCGCCGGACGGCGGTCATTGATTCCTGAACTGCGCTGGCGCCGCTTTCGTTTCCAGCTTTTTTTATTTATGAATTATGCTCTATCATCTACGACAGATGACTCATATTGAGAATGGAGGTCAGTTTGATTTCATAAATGAAGTTGTTGCATTTTGCGTATAAACACGTGCGCCAAGTTTTATATGTAAATTTCGAGTCGTAGATTGTAACTTAAGATGGTTGGGCATTGGACGAATTTTATTCGGCATAAAAATAGTACAGCCTTTGCGATTCTGTAACTCACTTTTCGAACTCTCACAGCGGTTTTCAGCGGCGGTCGCGCTCAAATCATTCTTGAAGCAGTCATTTTATGATTTGGCAGTGAGTTACAGAATCGCACGGCTGAATGTAATGTAAAGTAAAGAAGAGATAAACACTTTACAATTCACAAAAATAGGGTAAATTACTGTTTTTGTTAGTGGACTTTAATGTGAAAAAATAGCAAATTTAAATACATACCACACACTCAGTTATTATAAGACTCAATATCTATAAAGTATTTTATAAATATCACTCTCAATGCATATAATAAACGGTTAAAAACACATTAAAACGGGAATTGTAAAGCTATTCTACGGCGACCGTAGTGACTGTTTGACTCATACTCACGAAGTAAAAACTCATTTAGGACCTCACAAATCCACTTTAAAACCAATCAAAGTTAAATCAATTGAAAAAGCGTATATTCATATTAGCCACGCGCGACGAGCAGGCGCCATCGAATCGGTCTCTTCCTTAGGATGTAGCACAGATTGTCCTTGCTCTTATGGCTCTTATCCTGTTACGAAACCGTCAACTCAACACGATTTATCATTATATTTGGTTAGATGTTGATAATAGTCTTAACCAAACTAGATAAACAGGAGCCGTCAATAAATTAATCCTTTGTCCGATTAACAACTGAGTCCACCTTAACAAATTTTTATTACTTAGATACTTATTATTACTACTATTTATTACGCATCATTTCGTACTTTGATTGGCAACACCGAAGGCAAAAAATCGCGTGGACGTCCGCCAATGAAATGGACTAAACAAGTCAAAGTCAAAACTATGCACAGTTGTAAAGTGTAAACAAAATTATTCGCTATACACCTGTCCACGATACATGAGTTTACTAAGTAACTTTAGTTGAATTAGTGGAGTACACTTATATCGTATAACTTTCATTACTGAGATATGAATGGAAATTTTTAATTAAAATTAGCTATAATAGTGGAGTTTAATTGTAATTACAGTAAAACCTTTATAGTTCCTGGCATGAATGCAATAGTCGTAGATATGAACATCAATGTTCCCTGTATCATCGTAGCATACATTTACTTTGTGTCTATATGTTGCTACTAGCGAAAAAAATCATTTCAATATTTCGCAAGGATCCTCAAATTAGATTCTTACATATGAAATTGGCGACCATTGGCAGGTACAAAAAGTAGATTATTTTAAATAGAAATTATTTAATTAATCAAAGTATGTACCATTGCTATGTATGTACTTTCGCCATCTTATAAACAGTTCATTGATCCCTTTACACAAACATTCGGACTAGAATCAATAAAATCTTTGAAGGCGGTTTCGACTGCCCCATCAGAGTTGAATTTTTTACCTCTCTTACCGATTTGGAATCCCTAACCAAATAGGAGATATTTGAGGTCAAAATGGCCATTACAAAACGCCAATTTTATATGTCAGGACCAATATATTACATTATATATTGGTTTAAGTTTAAATTGTAAGATAGTACAAATATTTGCCTCGCCCTTCCTATCAAACGTACTAGTTTTTGATGAATGTTCCTACAAAAGATAAAACTTTATCATACATTTAGGTAATCACTGCTACAAATGCTATGATAAAATTTATAATTACTTTTATCACATATAATTGCGTGTAATACCTTGCTTTTGATGCAATCATGTCTGTGGAGTTGTTACAGGTTTGATTAATTAGTGGAAAAACCAACTAAGGACAGTAGGCGATTTAAAAAAGCATTTCTTTATTCGCGTAATTTCAATATCGATTAACACTATTGTTCTTTCCTCTGTTTTATAGGTTAAAGACAATTAAAGTAAATTAATTATCTTTGCATAGGGTAGACTTTTAGTACTTCTTGTTAGTTCTGTTAGTTAAGTAGATTACTTAGTTAGTCTGGCAGGTGAAGCGACTTAATCTTTTTTTAAATGTTGCATGAATTGATGAAGGATTTTTTCATGAAAACTCTTAGGTATCGTATTTATCAAAATATCTATGCTATACAATTTCCATAGAATTTAATATATTTCATATTTACAATCAAGTATACAGTATTTACCATGTTCTTAACCTACAAAGTAATAATAAAAAGTATCAAAAATTATTAAAAAGAAGATATTTTTTTTTTTAAGTTTGGTTCCACACTTGTGTCTTACGTGAAGTTATCCTATTCAAGGTCATTCTGTATACAGCTGTTGATTAGAAATATTGTATTTTACGAAGTTCTTCGGCATATGTTTGCCTTCAGGGCATATGTCCTAGTGGTGTACTATCAGTACTTAGCTTAAATGTAGATAACAAAATTTAATACCGACAGATATAAAAACTATAACTACATATGTGGGACAAGGTATAATTAAAAGGCGTTTGGATTATGGCCGACAATCATTTAATATCGGTTGATATAGTAAATAATTATGAGGGGTCCTACCTATAGAAAGAGTCCGGTTCTCAGCCAAATCCTATATATTACAGATAAATAATAATATTTGTATGTGCATAGTACGAAAAATGTTCTTTATAATCATATTTTATTAAAAAAACTCGAATCAAAATTTAAAACAGTAACCTAAATGATACATAATGGGCGCAAGTGATTTGTCAATATGAATGAGTTTATGTTGAAAGAAAGCAAATGTCAAGCCCTCATGCGCAGGGGCAATCGAGCAAATCAACTCCTGACACTCGTTGATAAAGCAATTGAGATTTTGATGTCGCGGCCCTGAAATGGCACTGACACTGTAATGTATTCTTGAATCGGCAAACTAAAAAATCCTTAATAGCTCATCATAAGCTAGTATTTTTTAAACGCTTTTGAAAATAGATAAAAAGTGGAGTGTGGCAAAAACTTAAGATACACTCCTTCTAACATTTTTAGGTTCTATTCTCGCGGACGCAAACCAAGGTTTGAATTGATTAATGATGAAAATATCATCATGGAATGTGACAAATAATATACAAATTCATTTTCAGGTGTATCAGCTAGTGAGGCTTTGAGGAATGGCATCTGCAATTCACTCTGGGGTGCATCCAACACACGTCCTGATGGAAGATTGACACCACCGCCCCAGAATATGGACACGTACAACAGTAGAGGTAAGGTAACATTGGATATATTTATATAGCTTAAAATGTCGGAAGGTTTTTTTTATCAAAATATAATAAGACGGTAACCAAAATCACCATCATTAAATAAACCAAGAAATTATGAAAAACTCAGAGTAGGTACCTACTAGTAGTTAATGTATACGGAGAATGGTTCCGCGCAAGGCAATTGCAAGGCAACTTAGAAGGTATTTTTTAGCAAACCTGGGATGTGATTGCTTTGCTCTATAAATTTAAGATAGATGTAATATTGTGTATAAGTTATAAAAATGGGTTTTTTTTTCTCTGTTTGTTGTAATGATTTCGTTTCGTTTTTTGTATTTATTTGTAACTTTTTAGTTTATTAGGAATTAAACGTCTACTGTGGTACCCTTCAAGCACCAAGTTAAACCGCTTTGTGTTTTTTTGGTGTTTTCTATACTTTTTTTTTAATCAATACGTGTTGCGCAATAAATTATTTCAACATCAATCGAGAACCGTCGATTTTTAATAAACCTATCACGTCACGCATTCCAATAACATCAAGCAAATCCCACGGCTTCAGATTTCGGGCTGACACTATCTTATCGGCCGAAACCGTTATCGCTTAGCGAAATTAACGTTTGTTTTATGGCTCTGATTTGCCGGCGGCAACGACAAAGCCATATCAACCTATCAGTTCAAACGTTACGTGTTATGAGACTTGTAATTCATATATTGAACACGAATTTCGATATCACTGATAAGGTACAGTCAGCATTTTAACACAACACAAAGCAGAAAAAATACAAGGTTTGCTGCGTAGGACGTATACAACATTTTATACACCAATACCTTTTCTTTAATTATAATGTTTTTATATTTTTAAGTTTTTGAGCTGAGTTATATTTGATACCAATAAAAGAGTTAGCACTAAGCATAATACTTGATGAAGTTGACATTGGTAATGTAAAGAAATAACCTTCAAATGATACATTTTTCTGTGTCAAAAACTTGTATTTTTTCTGCTGTCCGTCCACTGTATCATGTTGTAAATCCGAATTGGACATGTGTACCCTTGTAAGCAAACATTAGTTACAAGATAAGGCAATGTTTGAAAAGTATGGTTGTACATTCTGAGAAATAATAAAAATCTGTCCTTCGTGAGCCGCGTCCTCACCGTAGATGCGATATTGAATATGTATTTGATAACTAATCCCTGTCAATTTCTTTATGTCGTCATCAAGTCACTGAAAAACAACATGAAAGTTTATTTTTAACTTGCGGCGAGTTTATTTTTGTGTTGTTTCGGAAAATAGTTTTGTTTTTTATCAGTAGTAGATTTTAGGTATATTAACATTATTATTATCTTTAAAATGTTTATGATATTAAAATACAAGTTGACATCTTTTATTTAAATTATTATCTACTTCACACATGAATAGACAACAAAATAGATATTTCGTGTTTATATTAAACTGAAATTATTCCAATCATCGCGTATTATAAAAATAAAAAGATTACGAAATCCGACATTCACTAAGTCACTTTAGACACAAGTTGTTACAATCGTTAGATCTACAGTAATTTCATGTATTTGGGTTTCTTTTGTTTATTTATTAAGTACCCCACATCATATATGCATTTTCTGAAGTGTAAGTAACAATCTATCTTTTCAAAAATATATGACAATTACGGTGAACAAATTTGAAAATATATTAAAAATACCATAAAAATAATACATATCCAACAACTACAAATTTAAGTTTTTACTAATAATTTTATTAATACTTATTCGCAAAACAATCCGGATTAGTAACCCGATAGGCGTTTAACAACGCATTTTTGTTATTGATCAGCATTCAGCCCACTACCGAATATATCAAGCTATGAATGAATAGCGTTTATATTGTTTTATTCGCGAAGAATAAAACATACATTCATCCTTATATCCCCGGCTGTGCACCAATGGACTTTCTTTCTATGTGCGCATTTAGCATGCGCTCGGACGGTGAAGGAAAACAGCGTTAGGAAAGCGACATGTCTTAGACCCAAAACGAGTGTGTGTCAGGCACTGGAGGCTTATCACCTACTTGTCTATTAGATTGAAAAATGATCATGAAACAGATTCAGAAATCTGAGGCCTAGACCTAAAGAGGTTGTAGCACGACTGATTCATTTTTTTTATTTTTTCTTCCTTATATGTAATATTTTCATTTATAGAAACTTCTTAAACAACTCACGTATTGTGATCATTTCAATTCAATTCAATGGTCATAGCGCAAAGTCACGCGAACTAGGGCTAATTCAGACATGACCAAACAAATGTGAATAATAGGACAAACAGGGCACCGTCGTGACCACTGGGCAAATATTGACATCGAGAACACCCTTTGATTGATCGAGGAGCGTGCTTACTGCGAAACATGCGATATCCATATTTATTGACTTAAAATTCAATTGTTTTATTTGTCACGTAATTTTGTATTAAGGGTATCTTGTATTAAGGCTTATTAACGTGAAACTTCTTTAGGCGCATGAGGGTAAAATTATTACGGAACGTCACGAAGTTGTCACGTTTTTGTCGAAGAAAAGGGAGAGAACAATTGAGATTGATAGAGAGTAAAATAGGTGAATTACCTTATTGAAATTCTATTTTTAAAATTTCGTAAAAAGAATTTATGAAGTATTAGTATTTTATATTTTATTTTATTTAATTATTGAAATCTTATTTTCATATTAATTTTCGATACTTTTAATATTTTAATTCCAATTAAAATCATTGAATTGTTAAAATATCTTTCTTTTTCTCTCCTTCTAAATCTCGGAAATCTAAAGTTTTAGATTTGTATATATATGAACAAGACTTAAAAAATAGTTTGCCAAAGAAGTATCACAGCTGACATATTGTGTACTTTGTATGCACGCACTTTTTTTCTATTTCACTGTTTAATGCCTTCCAACAATCAGACCATTGTGTTCTTAATTATCTTATACATATGTTCCTAAGCAGATAATGAAAAATGCGTACTAAACTACATATTTCATGACAGGTACACGAGTTAAATCCAAACTCATTAACAAAACCTCATTACGTGGGTCATAACCACAAATCTAAGCATACGTTGACTGACAATTATTAAAGCTCAATTTAATCTCAAAGATGCCGCTAGCATTTCGTCAATGTTTACAAACATCACACTTACAATACGAATTTATTTACACAATAATTCTGAACCTTGTGTCATTACAATAGAGTTCGTTATCGCCCGACACTTTAATGTGAATGAAGCCTTGTAAATGTCGCATACGTGAATCGTGCTATTGTTTCAGCAAATAATTCGTGGAAACATTGGAAGAGAAATCGGGGCGTTTAAAGACGCCGACGAGATAATGGTACTATGGAATGGGTTCGACATAGTTACTAGTTATACTGTATCTAAAATTTTGTTAGCACACTGTCTTAGGAAAAATAGTGATTTTCAAATTTTACGTTCATGTTTTTAAAAGATCCCTCATAAGTAATATCCACTATCTATTCTTTTTTTTTTTAATTATATATTCAAACTTTAAATTAAAACTGTTTTGCAAAAAACGGGACCTAAGGAAATTTATGATCAAAGCTCGATTGCAGTTAAATTAATGAAATTTAATTGTTTGAAGTCTGTAGACTTATAACCGTGTAAATAAATACGCGTAAAGTGAATTCTGACAATTTAATAACTGTTGATGAATTCTATGAATCGGGTAGATGTTGGCAAAAAAAAACAAGAAGATTTTTTTACTTTTATTAATTAAATAATGACAAGAAGCACGTTTTTTTTCAAAAGAGTTAAGTTGAATTTATGTAATTCTCACTGTCATAAATAAAACAATTTGTTTTAGTAACGTAGCAATAAGTGAGTTACAATAATATTTGCAACAATTTGAATATTATTTAGAACTATATAATTCCCAAGGTTCTTAGCTATCAAATCGTATATCAATATCAGTAAGCCCCTCTCAAAAGATTTAAGGATTTATTTTTGTTATCAATGACGTGTAACACTATGTAAAAGCTGGGTGGACTGTGAACTCGACAGTATGTGATCTCGCCGCCACAAGATATAACCTTATCAAACTGATTGACAATGTGACGGATGTGACGAAATGCACATGAAATGCATAATCCTATCATAAAACTATAAATAAAATACACAAAATATTCAAAAAGAGTTATGTTTAAAAAGTAACAGGCTATTTACTAATAGTAAAAAATGCCTATATACCAAATGGAGCATATTTTACGATCCAAAGAATTTCGGTTTTAAATAAGTTTTAAAATATCCTAGCTCTATATAGCAATATATCTCTCTCTCTTTTCAATTGGCAGCTCATGTCTGAGCGTCGCTATGGTTACATAAAATATAACTAAAAAAAAAAAAGAAAAAAAAAAAGTTATAATTTAAAAAAAAAAAGTTTCTGCAAGTTCTCATCGCCTCGGCGCATTGTATGCTGCTGATATATACATATATAGATATTAATGTTCCAGGAGAATATTTTATAGACGCCTGTCTATGCCTTATAACCTACTTTAGCACGTGTTTTTTTGGAATTCCGACACATGAACTCATATAGTGTATAAATCTACCGAACGTTTTATAATTAAAATCGGATTTAGTTCGTTTATTAACACTTCTGTGACCGCAAAGCTACTTCGGAATATGTGGATTTCCCTGTAATACCCAAAGTACCGAATTTTAGCACATATTATATCTTCAGCTATGACGTCTTATCTAATATGGGACTTACAGTATTGTTCCATTCGATTCATCGTGGTCATATTGAAATCCTTATTAGTGCGGAATTTCAAAAACATTCGTTATATAGCACTAGAGATAAAAGGCATATAAAATGGATACAAATAATTATTGAGACCTTCAAAACTTTGATTAATCCCTACTGGATGGATTAGGATGAGAAATCTAATGGCTTACGATAAAGTTTATGATTTTTAGGGTACCGTATCAGGCAATAAAAAATATGTCCGCGAATGACTATATAATCCATAGTAAAAGAGGGCACGGTTGTTTGTTAGCGCTTAGCAGTAATTCAGACATTTAGATTTTAAAGATAGATATTTTTTTAAATATCTGGTTTCAAAGATGATGAAACTCTTGCTGACTACGAATAGCTTACGTAAACCAAAGACAATAAATCTAAAAACAATATAATATAACAACTCTTAACCTCTAAAAAAAGTAACTAATATAAATATTAGTTGAATGACTAAAAATTATGTATAAAAAAAAATTATGTATTTTTTCTGAATTTTTTTTCTGTAAATACATAATTTTTTTTTAAACTTTTTGCCGCAACACCTGTGGAAGGGAATTATAACCGTAATTAAAAAAAGTATTTCCGGACCGCTTTTAACACTGTGGTTTTTGAAGCCAAATTGAGTATGAGTCTGATATTAAAACACCTGTTATTTGGTATGTAATACGTGTTGTGTACAGATAACACACACATATGCCGATTAATTTGGACATTTACAATCCAAGATTTGGTTAATCCCAGTCGATAAGTGGGGCTTAAAACATTATTACAATTGATAAAAGATATTAAACACGAATGATAACATTTGATTTATACGTATTTTGTACGGTTTAATCGAATTTTTTAGGAATTTTTAGTAAATAATAATTCAATTTAATATTTATTACTCGAAACCTCAATTTAAAATAAAACTAATATTTTTGGGTTCATAAAAATCATAGGCCTGCAGTGATAGGTAGAACTTGCTCAACAATGCTCAACTAGAGTGTCTTGAAAAATTTGAAATATAAAAGCCAAATCTATTAGTACAAAAAAAAATTTGAGTTTTCAGGTTTATTAATAGTATTATTAATACTAGATTAACAGTAGTGAGCAGATGAGCAGTGTTGGCCTAGTGGCTTAAGTGAGACTCCCATCCCTGAGGTCGTAGGTTCGATCCCTCACCAAATTCTATGTGCGCATTTAACATTCGCTCGAACGGTGAAGGAAAACATCGTGAGGAAACCGGCTTGCCATAGAACCAAAAAGTCGACGTCGTGTATCGGGCACAGGAGGCTGATCAGCTTGCCTAATAGAGAGACAAAAATTATCATGAAACGAAAAAAGAAATCTGAGGCCCAGAACAAAAAAAAAGGATGTGCGAATATAATTGTAGCGCCACTGATTTATTATATCTTATTAGATTAACAGTAGAGTAATAATTAACACGCAATATGTAAATAATATATTATTAATCTAATATATTCGTGTTAAAGATTCGTAGAAAGAAAGCTCTGCAGGTTTGTAGCATACAGAATCAAAATCTACATTAAACAGATATTCTTTCACTAAAATAATGCTACATTATCCCCGAGTAACATTGTATATACATTTCAATTAAAAAAAGTACATGCGTACGAAGTTAGGATAGGCTGTAAGTGCAATCAATACCTATCAATACCTATCAATACCTTTTTTATGGGACAGAAGGCTCACGAATAGGCACGTAAAATAAAGTGCATACCGCCGCCCATGAACGCAACACCAGGAGGTGTTCAAGTGCGTTGCCGACTTTTAAGGTGGTGGTAGCCCCTTCTCTTGAAGGCCCCTAAGTCGTAACGGAAATACCTGTAATGTCAATTGATTCCATAAAATGTTTTACTTCCATAAAATGTTTAATGGGTATATGATCATATACCCATGCACATATATATATTAAAAGATTAATATATACGTTATATGAATAATTTTATTGTATAGCAAAACAATTTAATTTGAAACGTAATTACGCCCCCATATTATTGGGATCATTATTAAATATTTTATGACGACCTCTAATCTTGATAAACGACTGTAGCGTGACTTTGCATCTCTTTTGTAAACTGAATGATCTACAAATTGTTTATTAATTGACATTTCTTTGGTGATATGTGACATAAACATAATTGTAACATGATTCTTTATGAAGTAAACGTTTTCAATAATAATTTATATTTATTGAAAGTGTCGTAATCTACTCTCTAAGTCATAAAAACGTCATTCCTACCAATTTAAACCAACCTAGGAGTTTAGGCACCTCTCTTTCGAATTCTTCGCGATTATAACGGATTAAACACCTATTTATCCGGAGCTGGATATATTCATATATAAAGAAAGCATCTCATACCTGATTTGCTAGTATTTTAATTTTATTTAATATATATTTTTATTTTTTGTAATATTTATGTTAACCAAATTTATATAATTTATATAAAAGAGCTTGTAACATATACCAAAGATATAATTTTATGTATGATGTGGTAAACTTCAATAAATAAATTCATAATACTTTGTTGTGATTTATAATTTCTCAAGAGCAAAACTGTGTTTTATGTCTTCTGTCCGTTGTTATACTTCTTATCTGGAAGCTTATTAAAATATATGTACTGATCATAGAGGAAAAGTTAGTATTTAAAAACCTAACGTATAAACCCGACAGATTACAAATTATTTTACCATTATAATTCTAAATTTAAGTAGTCTATGTTTATTTGCGAAATATTAAATAAATCTACCTAAGCTAAGCCGGGTCAGGCAAGTATATAAAGAAGAAGAACAGTAAATTAATGATTTTTTATTAGTAAATTATACGTAAACAAAAACACTATTTTCAATTCATTAAAAGCTCTTGGAAAAATAGCAATCAGAATGCAACGCAAACCGCACCTTACAATTAAAATTGCATTAGTACCACAAATACGACGGAACTAATGATAATGCTCCATTTGAAAAAGCACAGTCTGATCTTCATATAATCTAAACTATTTCTAAATCATTACATTGTTTATTAAAAAGAATATATGAGATTCTCTTTTGTTTGCACCAATACTCACGACTCTGTTTAGATATAAATTCAATAATACTTACATTTCAGTCCATAATCAAAGTTCAAATAACCTAAATTATCATATCACAAAGAGCACAATACGACGATAATGCCAGTCTTTAAATTACCCTGTATGGGGTTGCATTCTATATTTCGCAAAGCCATGAATTCAAGCATACTGTCGAGGCGGAACAATGAACCCAAATAACCATTAATATGTAATAAATACTATGGGGCAATAAAACTGTGTCGCGTGGGGGACAAACAAACAAGTGTACCGAGGCAACCCCTAAACGCTGAGTATTGTTCAGAAAGACCCGGGCGTGAAATGACCGAGGGCTCGCGAAGTTTGCCGATCGCACCAAATTGGTTCCGCACCGAATGCCAACAGCTGCTGCGTTTCCGATATAGGGGTAGCTCTTCATTAGTTTAACTTGTCTCATCTCGAGATGGATGTTTGTTTTGGACAGCGTGAGTTTGAGCTGATGGTTTCTTGATGATGTTTCGATTATTTATTACTAAATTAAAGTTAGATTATCGCAATTCATAGGTGATTTTATTTAGAAATATTTATGTCTCAAGACAAACTTGAGACATGAAACTTTATTTTAAAAGTAAATTGGCTACATCATCAGATCCATTTCTTTTAAGAACTCAGTTTTCAAACGTTGTTATACTAAGCAAATTTAATTCATGGTTAACAGTAGTTGATGTAATTAAAAGTACAATCATTTATCAAAATAAAATTAGAATAACACTTACATATTTGTTCGATTAAAATCCATCACAGTTACAGTAATATAGAGCACAATGAACTAAACAAAGCGAACCAAACTGCCTCCTCGCGCCCGCGGATTAGTGAATTGTAAAAAAAGATTGGGGTCTTTCCAACCCGACGTGTTAATTACTGGGGTTGGGCGAGGGGTAGCAGATGAAAGTCAATTTGCTGCTACGACATGATATGGCTCATTTCATCCAGCGACAAGTGTAGCACCTGTGCGTTTTCACTGGCGCTAGGGGCTGTCCTTTGTGATCTTAAACAAACAATAGCATTGCCCTTTTGAAAGGAGTATTCTAAACACAAAGAGTTTTGTTTATTTCAAGTATCTTTTTGAAAGCTAGTTTATTTTATGCATATGCTATAATTGTGATGGCATATCGTCACTGTAGAATGATAGCCTCGTATGTCAAAAAAATATTAATTTTTTATTCTTAGACTAGTCATTTGACTGGTATAATCATGAAGTAAGGACTTGTTTATTTTATTAATAGATAAGCCCTTTTTACAAAAACAAATAATCATATTTCAACGAATATTGATGGAATGAAACATTTTTTTCGTTTCCTGTAATGTTTATTTCTCTGGACATACGAGGTTATCATTCTACAGCGACGATATTATCATTATTAATTTAGAATTACGTATTTCAGATGAAATCAAATTTGGAATAAATCGCCTGGTAGGGGAGCGGACTGATGAAGAAGATTGTGAATCGCATAACAATGAAACGCGACCGGAAGATATATCACCGACATCCCAGTGCGGTAGTCCATGTTGGGCACCTTCCCCTCCATCCCCTCGATCAGTCCGGTCAACGTCTCCTGAACTAGAAGTGGATTCCCCTCCATCATCACCGAGACGGCCGCCTGACTCATCCCCAACTATAAAACGATCAGAGGCATTTTCCGTAAGCGCACTTCTCAGACCAGACGCACCAAGAACTCAACCACATAGACCTTTTTTATACCCACCCCTGCCGTTTGCTGAGTTTCTAAGAGATGCAGGCAGTCTTAGCCTCCCTGGATGGGGGGGATACAGCAATCTATATCTCCATGCAGTTCAAGCAGCTGGTCCTGAGTTATTGCGACTTCGTGCTGCAGTACTAGGAAACCCAAGCCCCTTATCCAGGCCTTTGCCAATTGGAGACGTGTATTCGTGTGTTAAGTGTGAAAAGATGTTCAGTACACCACATGGATTGGAAGTTCATGCGCGAAGATCACATAATGGAAAACGACCATTTGCGTGTGAGCTGTGCAGTAAGACATTTGGACACGAAATCAGTCTTAGCCAACACAGGTGTGTATTTAAGTTTAATTTATAATAATTGTAATATAACTTCGGTTGAAAAATGTTGTTTTGTTACAATATTTATTCTATATCAGATTGAGAATGTCTCTAAGAAGCAGTTTAATCTTCTAGCCCAATATTATTGCTAGTAGGTATTTCAAAGTTTTTTTACTAATCTTTAATAACTATTTTTACTTGATTTCAAAATTACTAAGATTTGCTTTTATATGTTTTTTTAATGTGTGTATCATTCTTCATATTTATTTAGATGTTAGGCTGTTAGGCAGTTTATAATTTATTGGAATTCAATAAGAAATAAAAACAAAAGTTAGTAAGTTCTTCTAAAATAACAATAAATTTCAGGGCTGTCCACAGCGTAGAAAAAGTCTTCGAATGCAAGCAATGTGGGAAGACCTTCAAACGTTCAAGTACCCTATCGACACACCTACTCATCCACTCTGACACTCGACCTTACCCATGCCAGTACTGCGGCAAGAGGTTTCATCAAAAGTCCGACATGAAAAAGCACACCTATATTCATACAGGTAAGGTTTAAATTAGTAATCATAATTTATGTCAAATTATTATTTAGATTAATTTTACTTAGCTGTACTGTCACATAACCCCGAAATAATATTTAAGCAATTAATGAATTTTTTTGTACATGGGTTTCCCCCAATGTTTGGCTTCACCGTAGTAAGTTAATTTCGCACATAGAAAGAAAAATACGTTGGTGCGCCGTGATTTAAACGCACACTCGCACACGCGCACTAAAAAACATATGGATATTGTATAAAAACATATTATTATAATGTTTCATAATTTTATATTGTCCGTTTATTATTGACAAAGTGACGAACACGAAACGATGATAAATAGTAAGTGGAAACAACTACCTGTCCATCTAAAACTGCGTACCAATTCTTAAAACTTAAAAGGCCGGCAACACACTCGCGAGCCCTCTGGCATTGAGAGTGTCTATGGGCGGCGGTGTCACTTAACATCAGATGAGCGTCATGCTGTTTGCCGCCTGTAAAAAATATAATGAGTGTTTTCTTTTAAGGTTACATTTATATAAGCTTTTATCCTAAAATACAGTAGCATTAAAATGGATGCTAAAACATCCTAATACCACACGTATTAATGGAAACAATGCATAATTAAAGCACAAAGGACGACAAAATAGACCGATTATTCAAGGTATAATTCAAATAAGACCACAATAATTCAAAACAAACTCCTTTAAGAGGTCCATTTAGAGTGTAATTCTCGTTGGAGTCTGTCAAAACATCTTAAGCTCCCTCGCCACATAATTAATGTACATTAACACCTAAGATGAACAAGGGTGTTTTATAATCGTAGACGGGGTGAGTCGAGACGTTTGCGGTGAACGGGGGCGACTCTGATACACGCAGTAATAGGGTTAACTTATGTATTATATGCGATGTGAAAAGGAAACTGTATATTGCAACCAAATTTACAAGATACATTTAATTATTGACATGTAAGATTTAATAAATATAGAATATAAAAGGTGTAAAGCACGCGAAACGTCGGATAAATTTAAAATTATGTTAAATAGTTGTAAATTTATAATAATACATAACTTCAATCCGGTCAAAAAGTTTTTTCTTTAAATATAAAAGGTTATTAAACTTAAATGGTCGAATGTTATGACCATATTTGTAACTAGCCGTATTGTCTACGAGTCGTTGACAAGTAAAAAGACTCACATATTTGACGAATCTTTCATAGCTTATGCATTTTTCATATAAGTTAACCCTCGGATGATATATTTTTTTAGCTGTTTAGTCTCAATATAAAAACTACTCTAAAATCTTACATTTTAACCTTTAAAGGTTAGAATTCGGGAGTTATGTTCTCAATATCGATTTTCGCTTTCAACAAATTTATAGAAACAGATTCCCCTTACATAAAGCAGTCCTCTATCTTCTAAAGTACCTACCTCTACTCAGTTCATTTAAGATAAGGGAGGGCTCGTGATTCAGACGCATAGATTCACCATTTCACTGCTCCTCGTGTGTTAGACAAAGAGGAAAGATAATACAATCTGGAATGACAGGGACAAAATACTGTAAGGGTTGTTTTATATGCATAGTTTAGTATGTAAAGTCTTGTACGAAGCGTTTGCTTTTCCATTCGACATAGTATTTGTACATTTAATTTACGTGAAATATTTGACAATTGATTATACTGTTATATAGTAGATACTGTATATGTACTGATGTGTATGTACTGTATGTGTATAGTAGTACTGAATATGCCTCACTATAACGAAACAACTATATACTTAAAGTAATTTTTAAACCTTATATTTGAAGACTTGAACTACGCAGAGCGTATTAGTTCGTAGCATCTCTACGCCGTAGTACTCATTATCAACAGCTTAAGCGTCACTATTGGAGATACAATAGTATTTATGTATAATATAATTTCATCACGCATTTTTAAAAATTGATTATAGTAACGTTAAAGTTCCTTGATAGTGACATAAATATCGGAAACTGCTAACAGGCAAAGTTAGGGTAAAACCACACCTGATCATCCCTCTACCGGATAAATTATTAACAATATCAACATAGTTGCGAACGGTATTTTAATTAGTGTCCCAACTTCTTGATTAATGCCTCCCTAACAATTTATCGTGAAAATTTTATAATTGCTCGCTAAATTAAACGAACGATTAGTCAATGTCAAGATGTAACCGCGACCTGCGATCTGTCACCTTATTTATTGAGTGTTTGTTTAATTCCTAAAGTTAATTAAAAATACGATTTAAAAATGTAGAAATAAAATAATTACATATAAATATTGTGCGTACAGCGTTCACAAAACAAATTGAAATATATCGTGTTTTATAAATTACATCATTGCTAAGGTGTAAAGACTAAGTCGTTGCTAAGTATTCAATGTAGACAACTCATTTGAAATGTTGGGTAATGTAAGTAAGGTATGTAGACAACTTGAAAAGGTCGAAATCCTGAAAATAGTTGTTTCGGATTGATATGATCAGAAGGTTCATGCTCTTGCCTTCTAGCACGGTGAAGCAGGCCCAGAAATGTCAGTAGCGGTACATTAATATATTCTGTAAATTATCTGTCAAGATTGAAACCCTTGTATACCTTTTTCAAAAGTAAAAAAAAACATGAATGTTTGATAGCTGATGCTCCGCCGGGCAATTTTTTAAAAACCTTCTCTTAATTAGTCGGGAATAAACAGGAGCACATTAGCTCTCTGTATAATTACTGGCGGTTCGGCCATTTTGTTTTTTTTACCGCGGCTTGCGGTAGACGGTTAGAAAGCATTTGTGGAATTGCTTCTCATTGTTATGCAATTATAAATGAGTTTTAAGCGATCTGATTACGCGATGGGTGGCTTTTTTAGACGTTTTTCAAGTGATCTGGGGTGAATATTTGGTATTAATGGATATATTTTTGTTTTTACCTTTCATTTATCACAATAACAAATGTTACTTTAGAAAATTATAACCCTGTTTGCTCGCATGAATTATAGTAAGTTTTATATGATCAGTGTTGGACAGTAAAAAAAAAAATTTTTGGGAAGGAAAAATTTAGGTTATTTTTTTTCTTCTATGTAGCTGTAATAGTAGAATATAAGTTTAATTAATATATGTACGTATGTTTTGTATGTTTAAAGTTTGTTGTATATAAGACATTCTATCGCTTAACACGTCACAATACACATAGGTACAAGAATTAATTTGAAATACAAAATTAGCTTTAAAATATTAAAAAAACTTTGCAACGATATTAGTTTAACACAAGTAGACATTTATAAGATCATTAACATAAAAAAGATTGGGAAAACGAAAATTAAATGAATAAAACACTTCAAAATTGCTATTCTTGAGCCAAACGATCCTAACTTGGGCTCGCAGATCCACTGATTACCTTTTTAAAGCCTTTTCTCACTTGGCCTCAAAGACACAAAGAAGTTTTTAATCGACTTTAAGTAGGTAATTTGACTGCTGGGTCTTGATATTACCATGCAAATAAGGTTCCTCCTTATTAATATTGTCTATTGCACGCCAGTTTCACAAAGATTTTCTTTTGTTTTGTTTTTTTATTTCAGAATAATTTATAGTTTCGCAAAATTATCGACTTCGTCAAAAAAATTACTGAATTTGTATAGTATTTAATTTGTCAACTATTTGTAGTTAAAAATACTTATATAAAATAATGATTATGTTATTGCTTTCCTTATTTATTTTTTTAAAAGGGTTTCCAACCGGCATTACAGTAAAAGCTTACATCTATGAACACACAAAAATAACAATTAACACTGATTTAACAGTCAAACACAGCACTTTATACTTAACAACTATTGCTAACTAACAGAATTATTAAAACTACTTAAACCGTTTATATGATTTGTTTGACGCAACGATTTTTTTAGTATAGTAAAACTAACACAATAAATAACACATGTAAAAGTCAGAATTTTAAAACAAATTTAGCTAAAGATGCCTAAATATATATATCTGTAGTATCTATATATATACATTTAGACACCTCCGTACATCCGTAGCCTGCCGGTTATAATTATTATAATCTTTATCTCACGTTAAAACAAATAGTCCAATCTTTCAAAATGTCTACAAGATTCTAGTCTTCCGTATTCTATCCGCAAACTTAGGGGTGGAAATCTAAGCGCTCCATAAGGTAGGGGGTGGGTCAAGGGGAGAGGGAGTCTGAATCAAGGAGCGCTACGTGCCCGGAGTTTAATTAAGGACCCCGAGGACATCTCAAGATACTTCGATTTTAGTGGCGCTTTCTTTTAATTTCCTTTATTTAGTTACCGGTTGATGTTATTTCTGAGTGGGGATAATGCGTGATTTGAACATGTAATTTTCGATTCGGTGACTTTATAAGGACTTTTATCGGTTTTTAGACTTTGAAGCTAAGCAGTTTTTATTTGGGTTCTAAGATTAATTACTGAAGGTCACCTAAGTGGGGTAGGCATCCAGAGGATACCAGCAGTGTTGAGTCAGCTGTTGTAATTTCGGAATCAATGGCTAAATGGCGAGTCTCCAGAGTATAATCCGATAGGTTTTGATAACTGGCGAGAAAAATACTAAATAAATATAAAAAGAAAGCACCAAAAGCTTAAAGCTTAAAGGAATTATGAAAATATAACTGTGAATACGTTTTGAGCAAAGGAAAGCATTTATTCATATGAAAAATGTATTTTCGTGGAGTTTCATCTCGTGATCCATTCACGAATATAACGAAAGCTTATCAGATTTATTCTCAGTCTTGTTTTCGTAACTCAATATACACTAGGGATGATAAGATTCGAGATTTTTTCACACGCGAAAAAGTGACAGTGGATTCGTCCCATACCCCATATAGTACTGTGTACCCCCGGGAGGAAAATAATTGAATTAATGTCCGCGGCCCCATTTTTGCCCCCAGTAATATGACACTGGATTGTTTCTTTGTAAGAGTACTTTTACTTAATTACTATACTTTGCAGATACAGTATAAATTGTAATAAATATTTTTGCTTGTGGACAATTTTTTGTAAACATTATCCATATTATACGCGCCGTACTTTTGGTAACTAGGTCTTATCTTCTGGGTCACAAATAATTGAAGGCTACTTGCATAAAAAATGATTTAAGTTTTATAATGATAAAGGATTTTGTATCGCAACGTATAAAATATAGTAACGAAAATTATGATTAAAGAATGTAAACATTTTAATGTCGTATTAGTTAAATCTTAACAATTTTGCTCAAATCAACGTCCACCTATTTTCCTTATTGAACCTACATTAATATACTCTCTCAATTAAGAAAAAATCAAAAATATTTGTCCTTGTCCATCACCTAACAGGTCAATATGATTTTTACCGCATAACGGTGCAATTCGAGACGCGTGGCATCGCACGCGGCACCTAATTCAATAAACACATTATCACGATTAGCTCTCTATCTTTACCCCCCGCAGCTAAACGACCCCAGAGGGCGCTGCTCCCAAAGGAATAGCTCGATTTCGCGCGTAATATTAGTGTGTTTTATTCAAATGACCGTCTGTAATTTACATACCCATAAAATGTTCCTTTAGTTTTTTGAGAGAAACTTAAGTGTCAGATATATTATAAGCTTATATCGGGG